GACCAAAACACAGAATTACAAGGACATCTCTCAGCTTCCAAGAAATAAAGTCCATCCTTACAGGGCCGATCTGTCCCTTGGTTTCTTTTACTTAAGCATGAACAGTACCAAAGTCTCCAATAAAATTCCGCTACCTCACTACATGGCAATGTATAATGTGAATGAATATTTATTAACAAAGTTAATACATTTTCATACTATAAAGACTGATTGATACAATAGTTAGGGAAGGGAACTTCTGTAACAAAAGTAAATGTGAGCCTTGTGGTAAGAATGCACCTGGTTATGGAAATTTAGGCTGTGTGAGTAGTAGCTGCAAGGCTTGTCAGCTTTATGAAAGCTTAAAGTCCTGTCTATCAAGCAGCTTAAACTTTGAAGCTGCAAGCAATGTGTACTTAAAGGATTTGGGTTTCGTTGGCTTATAAAAAAGTAACTGCTGACATTTCTTATGCCAAGACAGAATTTCAGAAGTAGCTGAATGTGAAGTAGTTGCACGCTGCCTGCTTGATCTTGGTGAGATTTGAGAATGGGGTTTCCTGAGACTGATGCAGAGCTCCTGGTCCAGCTCTGGCAGATTTCTGAAAAGGCAATGATTGAGCAGCAGTGTCTTGGCCCGTTGTGCCTGCTCTGTGAGCTTTCCTGGGGGAACAGTGATTGTGCTGGCCCCTGAGACCTGGGAAGAGGGACAGCAGGTGCTGCTTGCCTGTAGGTGCTGTGCTGAAGCAAGAGAAGGCAGTGGCAGCAGTGGCTGCAGGGCTGGCATTGCTGACATCAGGTAACTTCATGCACAGAGTGATGCCTCTGTGGTTTAGCACTGCTAGGAGGAAGAGTACCAAGAACTCAAGAGCACTTACCTAGAAGACTGAAAATTTCAGCGTGCCTAGCACTTGTGGGTACAAGTACCAACATGCAGGCTTTAAATAACGTAAGGCTAGATGCTGTTTAATCAAACACCTCCAGCCTTCCTTGAGGGTATGCTGCACGTGAATGCAAGCAAGACTGTGCTTCTCTCTGCTGATTATATTTTGCCTTAGTCCCTGAATTTACATGAGAGGAAGCTTAGCATTTGTTTTTTAGAAAATACATTATTAAAATACTGACTAATTTTAGTTATGAGTTTGTGCTTGGTAAGGCCAAGTACTTATGTGAACTAGCAATAACCAGAGTATATGGCATTTGCGGTCTTGAAGCATGGTCAGGCTCTCCTGAAGTTACAAGTAAGAAGAAATGAGCGAAAATAGATAAGTATCTCCAATATCTTTTTATTTGTTGCTGTCTGGATTCAGCACCTTTACTAAAGCACCTCATTTTTCAAAATTTTCCCATCCTGTTTGGTTCAGGAAAAAAACCCCACCCTTTTTGCAAAACCCTTTTTCTCTCTTCCCGCTTACTATCAAAGTGCCCCTAAACTTGTCATTTCTTGATGCAAGTGCCATGCTTCTGACATCCAAATGTCATCCAAAGCAGCCTTTGTTAATGTGGCTTAGGTTTCTGCTTACAAACTTCATGAGTGTCCTGATTTTGGATGGGGTAGAGTTAATTTTCCTCCCAGTAGCTGCTGTGTTTTGGGTTTGGTAGGAGAGTAATGTTGATAGCACTGATGTTTTCAGCTGTTGCTAAGAAATCAGGCTTTCCTAGTCTCCCATGTTCAGCTAACGAGCAGGTGTGCAGGAGCTGGGCGAAGCAGAGCCGGGCAGCGAGCCCAAGCAGGCCAATGGAAATATTCCATATCGTGGGCGTCATCCTCAGTTTATGAATGGGGGTTGGCCAGGGGCAGGAATCTTTTCTCGCTTACTCGTTTCCATGAGTTTGAATTGTCGCTTGTCCAGGAGTTCGAACTTTTCCAGGAGTTCAGTCTTTTTCAGGAGTTTTGCGAAACTCACAAAATTCGCGAGTTTGGCGTTCCGTGATTTCTGCTCGGGGACCGGCTGCAACTCGGTCATCGGGCGGTGAGAAAATTGTAGTGTAGATCATTAGTTTTGCATATGCATTATTATAATTAATATTATTAAGAGTAATATTATTAGTATTTCCCTTGTTGCCTTATTAAACTGTGTTTATCTCAACCCACGAGTTTCCCCTTTCATCTGTTTCTCCTCCCATCCTGCTGTGGGGAAGGGGAGGGGTGAGCGAGTGGCTGGCAGATCCTAGTTGCCAGCTGCCAGGTTAAACCACGACAATGAGACGAAGCAGTGTGTTTCATTCTGCAGCTGTGAAAAGAACTGCAGAGAGACAGAGTGATTTTTCATAGCACCACAGGGTGCTGAGGCTGGAGGACACCTCTGGAGACCTTCCGGTCCCACAGCTTGCTCCAGCAGGGTCAGCCACCACAGGTTGCCCATGACCATGGCCAGCTGGATTTTGAGTATTTTGAATATGTGAGGAACGTACTCTCTGCAAGAAACAACTTTCCCTGAAGCACGGAAGATACTTGAGCTCTTTCCAAGCTGCTGTTAGTGACAGTGCTTTCGAAGCTCCTTTAAGCTTAAGGAGGAGATCTGGGACCTGTGGCTCTGCCATTCGATATTTGATGTTGGTTTGCCACTGAGGGTCATAACCAGAAGACAATCACAAGTGTCCAGACCATTGCTTGGAGGGAAGGTGGTCACATCAGTTATGGACCTTCAGAACTACAAACTGTAAGAAAACAACGAGACTGTGGTAGACAACTCATTGCTGGGCAGGTTGTGATAAAGATGCCAAATGTTTGCTCTTAGCTTTGCTACTTGATTGAAGGAGCTCACAGGAGTTCTTAGACCTTTTATAACTCTTGTGTAGTTCTCTTTTACCCTTTCTGATTTTGGATAAGCAGCTCACCATTTGGCAGGACTGTTGCTATCATGTTGATTCTCTAGCTTCGTGGTTGCCTTGGTTCTTCTGTGTACTTTCTGCTGATTTACAGCTATTCATTCTGTCCTCTTATTCCTGTATAAAATCCTTCCCGGAAAACTCTGCTTACAGCTAGTGTTTAGAGCCCCGTTGTGTTTTCCTACTTTCTACAGCTCAAAGGAGCAACAGAAGTTGCCCAATACACAGGAAACTTTTAGACAAGCGAAATTCCTCAACTTGTGCTTCAAAATACAGGTTTTTCTTCTCCAGTAAATGGCTTATTGTAACACGAGCTGTTAAGAAACCCTCACGTGATGACAGTTAACTAAGTAAACACTTTTGAGTCAAAATGTGACCTTATAGACTTTTCAAAAAATATTAAATTGCCATTTTTGGATGAACGGAATAGTTAGTAATTCAAATATTAAAATAAATTACAAATTAGTCTAAAAACTATTTTCTAGCAGTCAGATCAGAAAAAGATTAGGCCACGTATTTCCCTAACTTTTTCCGTACTGTCTTTTCAAGATTGCTGCAAATAAAGTAACTTTTCAGTGAAGTAGCTTTTGGATCACTGTACAAAAATTAAATATGATAGTTATTAGGGTAGTCTTATGCATCTTTTTGAAGAGGAAATAAATCTTTTTTTTCATTGCAGCAGAGGCTTAGCTGACTTTATTCCCATCAGATACATTAGTGAACGCTCCAGATGTGCAGAAAGGAGACACTCCCCAGATGCAGAAAATTATCTTTGCTTTTTGGCTGATTTACAGTTGTTATTTGTATTTGGGCTGCATTTATTTTAGGTAGAAAGGGGCTTCATTCCTCTAAACAGAACTTTATGCAAAGCTTTTTGTTTTCTGTTGCTCTGCAGAGAAACTAAACTTGAAAAGCAGCATCAATAGGTGGGTACTTGTAGGAGGAACAGGGTTTGAAACCAGCCATGTGGGATTTAATTTCATGAGACTCCAGGCAGGGCTAATTATAAACTGCTGCTTGGCAGTGGGAGTAAACATCCCGTCTGCAGTGCCTGACATGGAGGGATCTTGCCTGAAAACCTCTGCCCTGGCTGGGAGGAGGAGTACAGTTTGAAGTACGTTCTTCCACTTGCAGTGAGTGGTTTTCATGTTCCAGGTCCTCCATTTAAAACCTTAGAAAGGCAGTTCTTACAGCAAGGTGTGGAGAACCAAGTCACCTTTCTCTCATTTTTTTTGTAATTAGGTTGCACCTCTTGGTTTTGCCTGCTTAGGACATGTTGGAAAATAACTGTCAGAATGTGAGCTGACCAGTGTGAGTCTTTTATTGTAGATAACTAATGCTGTTGGGGCAAAACCTGGATTGAAATCAAGTGCTGGTAAGCTTAAAAAGCAATCATGATGGCTTTGCACTGTTAGTTTAAGTGTTTCATGAACAAATGTCAATGTGCTGGCCTTCCTCTATTTTCCGTAGCTTCTGTTATGGTTAGGTGTTGGAATATTTCCACTCCTTGTCTTTTCAGTCCCCCAAGGGGGAGGAGCACAAGACATGGGAGTGTAAAATCCAGTTTCCCTGCTGGAAGTTGGAGAAGCTGCGTTTTGCCTCGTTCCCAAAGAGTTTATGCCCTTGTGGTTACCAGCACCCTCGTCCCCCAAGAGGGCTGCCAAACCTGATGTAAGCTCTACAGAAATAAGAGGCCTCTCTGAGCTGAAGATTTTTGCAGATTTCATGAAAATGAGTGCCTGGGCAGCAGCACAGATCCAAGTTGGGCAATCACCAACTGTATGAAATTTGACAAGACCCAGTGCCAGATTCTGCACCTGGCATGGGATAATCCTGGTTATACATACAAACCGGGGGGCCAGAGGCTGGAGAGCAACCCAGTGGAAAGAGACTTGGGGGTCTGGGTTGATAGCAGGTTGAACCTGTGTCAACATGTGCTCTGGCAGCCGAAAGGGCCAACCGTGTCCTGGGGTGCACCAAGCACAGCATAGCTAGCCGGTTGAGGGAGGTGATCGTCCCACCCTACACTGCACTGGCGCGGCCCCACCTCCAGTACTGTGTGGTTTTGGGCACCTCAATGTAAGGACATCAGGTGGTTGGACTTTATGATCTTAAGGTTGGTCTTTTCCAACCTAAATGATTCTGTGATTCTGTGAAATTATTAGTGTGTCCAGGGGAGGGCAACCAAGACCATGAAAGGCCTCAAGGGCAAGACTTACGAGGAACGGCTGAGGTCGTTTGGTTTGTTCAGCTTGGAGAAGAAAAGGCTGAGGGGTGACCTCATCACCGTCTACAGCTTCCTCACGGGGGGCAGCAGAGGGGGAGGTGCTGATCTCCTCTGTCTCGTGACCAGCGATAGGACACGAGGAGGTGGAATGAAGCTGTGTCAGGGCAAGTTCAGACTGGACATTAAGAAAAGGTTCTTCACTGAGAGGTTGGTCGTTCACTGGAACAGGCTCCTCAGTGCAGTGGTCACGGCACCAAGCCTGTCAGAGTTCAAGGAGTGTCTGGGTGACGCCCTTAGTCATATGGTTTAGTTTTAGGTAGTCCTGTGAGGAGCAGGGAGTTGGACTCGATGATCTTTATGAATCCCTTCCAACTAAAGATATTCTATGACTCTGTGTTTGTAAGTTAGTTGGCCACTGATGGAGTGTCAGGTAACATTCAGCTGGTGGGACAGGGACAAGCTGACCACTGCCACCTGGTCTGTAGGCCTATGACTGGAAGACCAGCTGCAGCATGGAGACTCTGTGATACCCTGTGCTGCGGAGGGTGCTGGGGAGGAGGGAAGGAGGAGAGCACCAGCATTTTTAGGAAAAGTTGAAGCAGTCTTCCTCAAGTCAGAAAGTTGTTTGTGGTGATTCATCACCAGTCTCCTTTCTTGGTGTGTCACCATGCACGTGACTAATGGAGGAACTTTCCAAAGCTCGTGTTGGCTTCTGCAATGGAATGTAAATATGACTAATCTCGTAGCAGTAAGTATCTGAGAGCGGTGATGGGTCTTTGCAAAGGACTCCTATTTGTGTAGTTACTTTGCTCTCTTGAATACCGTCTAGCTCATCAGCTCTTCAAAAGCTTATGTCTGCTCTTTTATTTTACCTGCTGGGTTCTCACCCATCTGACACAAACTATCAGGTTACTGGGGACAGCCTGCTGAAGGTCTGCCTCTTGAGATCCTGGTATTTGAGCTACGGACATGGAAGGAAGAGAGTGTAAATACTTCTGAAATTTTCTTGAATCTTCTCCTGCCCCCACGAGCTAGAAATACCTGCTGTATTGTGCTTTATATGCAATATATCTGCTTTACTTGCAATTATCTTTGCTCAGACTAAGAAAATGCTCATAAGCTCAGTTACTCTGGGTGCTCCTTAAACCTGTAGGGAGTGCAGTATATTCTTGCTGACTTTTTCTTCTCGGATCCTGCTACCACTTTTATTCTAGCTTTGTAGCTTTATCTCTGTTGTCTGATTGTTTCTTCCCTGGAACTAGCTGAATCGTTGGTACTGAGCCTCTCTCCTTTCAGACCAAGTAACTGAACTTCTAGTTTAGCTGGACCCAGCCATACTAAAAGCTAAGCGAATGCAGTTGTAAAAGCAAGTCCTTTAAACACATATGAGGGTTTGTCGTGAACAGTGGAGAAACACCCAGTCTTTGGTGCGAAAGCGGACTGCCAGCACTTCAGAGTGCAGATTATTGTAATGAGTTTCTAAAGCTAGGTTTTGACATTTTCTGCTGCCATTATTGAGATAAAGTAATGTGTTTGAAGAGTCTGACATCTCGCTGCATGCTTGGAAAACAGAATTGTGATCACAGAATATTGAATAATTCTAGTCAATGTAGAATGATTTTTTTTCTTTTATTTACTCTCAAATTTGTTTATTGCTCTCTCAAAGCTTGTCTTATGTGAGATTGGCAGTCAGCAGTCTTATCCTAAATTATTTCTCCATGAAGATCATGTGTGAAAACAATCCCTTAAAATAGCACTGTCACTGAATGCACGGTCTTTTACACTGGTTTCCTCCTCTTGAGGGAAACCACTGCAGCTGGAACCATTCAGAGTTCTCAGACTAAGTTTCATGGTTGCAGCGAGAGTCTTCAAGCAGCCTCTTTTCTGCTCTAGGTAAAACTTGAAGCTGCACCAAAGCATAATGTTGAGCATATGTGCTTGTTTTTCCCTCTGCCACTCCCTCTAAAAAGAAATAGTGATCTTGAAATATAGCCACCAATGTAACATTCATTGACTTAGTGATACATCTTTAACCTTGAGACAGATGGTGGTGGTCCATCCTCTGGGTGCTGTTCTGGTAGAGCATTTTGAGGAGCATGCGTCTTCAATAGATCCTTCTGCCTACCGTCTTGTAGTTAGACTAGCAAGTATCTGATCAGGTCCTGTCTTAGGCATTCCTTCCTGGAGGACTGTAGCCCGAGAGATGTATGTACTTGAGAAAACAAACAAACCTGAATTCAAGTTTGAGGAACAACTATGAAAATACCTGCTTAAATTTCTCTTCAGTGTTTTGACCTTTTTTTGCCAGCTAATATGAAGGTTTCTTGGTGTAGTCTAAACACAAAGGGGTAACTTCAGAGGTAGCTGAGATTTGGGTCTTAGCAACTGCTTATTTTACTGAGGTTTTTAAGATTGTATTGCAAGATGATGTAGGTTTCAGATAAACAATCTGCAAATGTTTTGCATTTTGTGAAACAGATTTTCATGAGCTAAGTATCTAAAAGAGCTTATGGTTTCCACCTGGAGTGAAGAACACCAAGTGAAGTATCTTCCTGCTTTCTGTCCAAGATCTATACCTAATGACTTTATCCAGGAGCTTCTAACAGCACTTTGCTCGTGCACCAAAATAAAGCCATGAATTGCCTCTGTTTCCATGAAGGGCCCTGTCACAGACCAGGCAGTGCTACCTCCCTACCTGGCTGTGAGCAAGGTGGTACTTAGTTTAAATGTTACAGTTACTGCTGCTTAGACTTCAGATTTCAGTTTCTGCTGTAGTGTTCAGTTGGCCAGACTGAAGACTAGCTTGAAGCATGTTTTCAGGAAACTGCAAGCTTGCCTTTGATTTTTTAATTCCAGCTGTCATTCCTTGCTTCCATATTAAAAAACCAAAAATGTACCGTAGCCTTATTTCTTCTCTGGAAAAAAGAAAGGCATTGTTAGTGCAATTATCTGAGAAGGAAAAGAGATTTCAGTTTTGACCTCAGTTGAGATGAAAGATGTCACCAAGTAAACGAGCATCTGTCATTCCTGGTGCTAGACCTGTGACTTGTCCTTGTCTTAACTTGGACTGTCAAGTAAGCAAAAGGATCATTCTGCTTGTGGTTGGATTTTTGATGCTTGTTTTTTATTCCTCTCTTCAGACTTTGCAGTAGCCAGTTCTGATTCCTCTGCTGTAGCTACATTCTCACAGGAAAAGCCAGACACAACAATGCTGTATGCCTGTATCTTCTGAATTACTGTAGCTCTGGCTGGCATTAGGTTTTGCTCTGGCTGGCTTGATATTCAGTATGTAGAAAAGGTCTTCCAGCTTCTCTGGGGCTGGAGCATTATGTTTGGATGTGTTTTCTTTGAATAGCTGGTATCTACTTTCATGCCTTGTTCTTTTTCCATGCTTCAGTGAAAGTAGGAATGATGAACTATCAGAAATATCCCAAGCAGTTGTTTTAGCTGTCCATTTATCTTCTAACCCTCTGCTGCTGCGATCACACTACTGTATTCATGCTGTGAAACCAGTTTGTATCATGGATATATTGAATTAGTGTGTTTGCAGTTGGCTGGGTAAGCAGCAGTAGCTCTAGTAACTGGCCTAATACAGCAAGAGAGAATGTTCTTTTCCTAAGGGCTGAAAATGAAACTTAATGTGCCTGGAGTGGAGATCCCTTAGTGGTGACAGCTGCATCTAGCTTTTAGGAAGTTGAAGAGACTGCTCAAGATCATCTGTGCTAATAACTTAACCACCTTGATACTGTTAACCTTTGTTAGGGGAAAAGATAAGTCTTATAAACCCATGAAAATTAATTTTTAATGCCAAGGTATTAAATCCTTTACCTGATTGTATAACTTTCATATTGGCCTTTGTGCTCCAAGGCTGTTCTTCACACTTGAATTCTTGTGAATTCAAGCTGTACCCCTGCTCATTTTTGTGGTTCAGTGGAAAGAAGGCTCGGAAAGAATATACTGTGGATGGCACTAAGAAAGCATGCGATAGCAGTGGCAAGAATAAAGGATTAAGTGCATTATATTGACTGTATGTGTTCTGGCCCTCCAGATCCTTTCTATAGACACAATTTTTAGTGCTGTTGTGTTTTTTTTCTGAAGAGATGTGTGGATAGTGGCCTGGAGAAATAGAGAAGAGTGTCTGTCTTCATCCCTGACTCAAAATATTCTAGTCTGACACAGGAAGCAGAAAACATATCTCAAGATAGATCAAAGACGTGTTTATGACTGTAACAAGTGTTGGTTTTGAGTAAGAAAAAACAAGTGTTCTTACTGTTGCTTTCGTCTTCTACAGGCAATTATGACGACTTCAACTTACAAGATGCATTTGGTAATTATTACACTTTTGCAAATTTTGAGAGGGAGGTGGGAAAATAGTGGCTGCTCTTTTGACTTGCTTGTTTCCAAGTATCACTTCATGACCAAGCATGGCACCTTCTCCACATACAGTTTGTTTTAAAGCTCAGTGGAACAATTCAGTTGTGGGTATGTCAAAATGTTGACCGCACAGAACTGAGATTTGTTTTTGGGAACACTCAGGGATTCCTCTTACGGGCAAAATGTCTTGCTGTATAAACTTGATCTTGTGCTTTTCATTGTATAAACATAAGCTTACATTCATCCTTCATGTATCTTCTGAACAGTGTATTAAATAGTATTTAAACTTCTTTTTTTTCCTAACCATCCCTGGCAGAACCTACAAAGAAGCCTCTTCCATCAAAGATGCCACCACCACCAGATTTCGGTGAGATGTAATTGGCTTGTAATGCCTTTTACTGTGAAGTCAAGTATGGTTGTACGTACTAATTTGAGAGCCTGAATTTTTCAATTAGTGGCACACAGAGGTGTGATATTTCTATAAAAGAAAGCAATTCACTGGTAGTAAAAGAATTTCCGCATTTCAGAGTCTTCTCCTAGTGCTGTCACAAATTTATTTTGGGTTTTCCCAAGCTTAAAGACCCTGTGAGAATCTCTTCTTGGCTTTCAATCTGCACGTTTTGAGCTTGCTCACCTTGAGCTGGCCTTTGGCATGTACCACAGTCACCAAAAGCAGCGTGTAGCTTGGCAGATAATGCCTCGTAATTCTGTGGTGTTCCTCTGTGTGCCACTGTTGAATGAGTATGCCGTTATAGTCTTGGTGAAAACATTGTGAGGTGCCTTTTGTGTAAAAATAGTTTAAAAGTAGTTCAGTTTTTGCATTACATTTAAAACTTCCCTTCTTTCTTTGTAGATGATTTTGACTTGGAACATGCTCTTCACCCTGGTAAGTATCATGTTTTCCTGGATACTGCTCAGTGGTACTTGGTGCAGTGTCTGTCCATCCATCGTTACCTATATGTAATAAGGGCACTGAGTCGACTGAGGTAACAGACTCCACAGAAAAATAATTTCAGTCTAGTAGTGTTTGTTTACCTTCATTTTTAAGGGTCTGGATCACAAAAACTATGTATTATTTCACTCATTTCTTAGCCAAGTCCTACTTGTTTCATTGCTCTGTCTTCACTAGATGGCACTAATTCCATAAACTATTACTTATGGAAGTATTTTTAAAATCTGAAATACTCTCTTCCTTTCCAGCATGCACTTTTAGTAGCACAAGGAAACATAAATCTGTTTGAGATAATGTGAGGGAAGGTACTCTGTCTAATGCCTTGCAGTTCTGCAGTGTGGGCAGCAGCAGAAATTGCAGTATTGTTTTCACTCAGCCAGGAAAAGGTGCATCCAGTTAGGCAGATAATGCACAGCAGCTTTTCAAGTACCACCACTAGACCTGTTGCAGTATAGACAGCGTTCCTAACATAGGGCATTCAGCTGTAGTACAGCAGCTCTGTTTGCATTAGCCCTTTGAAGTTTTGCCTCTCTTAAAGCAGTCTGTTTCCAGTCGCTGACATTTTTGAAAACAGAGTTGGCTAATTGAGAAACAGTTGGCTGAATGAATCAGATGGTTCAGGTATGTGAAGAGGCAGGATCCTTTATAGGACAGCAAGACTACGTTGGGAGCTGTGCTCCGGAGGTGCCTGCCTCTTTACTCTGAATGTTCAGAGAGCCCAAGGAGTCCTGATCTAACGTGTGCTAGAGTTGGGAGGAGGCAAGAGAACAACTGCAACATCAAGAACGTTTAACCTGATCTAGTCAAAGATGTCCCTGCTCACTGCAGGGGGTTTGGGCTAGATGACTTCTAAAGTTCCCTTCCAACCCAAAGCATTCTATGGTTCTATAAGAGGAAGTAGCACCCAGGAGAAATGGGCCGCTGGGTTGGTTCAGCTGTTGGTGAAAACACAGTTTTAGAAAACCACTGCTGGTGTGTTAATTTGATGTAGGCAACAAAGACTGTGACCAAACAGTACAGAGATAATTATTAAGATCTCTTAGTCTCCTGTTTTGTGGCGAACTAAATGAAGTGTCATTGTGGGGACCATATTTATAGTTCTATTCTGTGTATCTTGTCTTTTTCTTTTTTTTTTTTTTTTTTTTTTTTTTTTAAAGTGAGGTACCAACCTTTATTATTGGTTAAAAACTGGTAGTTTTAAAAGAGGAAGCAGACAAGTAATCTATACCTGGTAGAAAAATTTAAAGAAATTCAGTGTTTGAAATCAGATTTGCAAACTGAAATGCTGCATAACACTTAGTGGGTTCTTCTGTATACGTTCAGCTATAGCAAGGGTCTGACATGCAGGCTAAAGTAGCAGAAACACTTCATTGTGTTACAGTACAGCGTTTAACCTAAAATAACCAAACAAATACAGCATTAGCTAAGGAAAGGAAAGGAAAATGACATGGGGAAGAGAAGTCTTTCAAGGTCACTATATGCTCTGCTTTTGGTCTTTTCACACTAGTAACTTTGGCCACTTTATTCTAACTCTATTTGTCTACAGATGACCCCAAGCCTGGTCCGCCTGCAAAGCCTAGAGACACTGGTAAGACTGACCTAACACATGTTTCTGAACAGTAGAAAAGTATTCGATAATCTTTCCTAGTCCCTTTCAAAGTTACCATTTTGTAGTCTGCTTTTGATCCTTTTGATCTCTTAATCTTTTTTTTTTTTTTTCCTAAATCTCCCTTTTGTGTGTAGATAACCCCAAGCAAGGTCCACCTGCAGATCGTAAAGACACTGGTAAGGCTTCCAGCGCAAACTCCTGAATCATGACGTGGTGTTGCCATCTCAATTAAACTTATAATAATTATTCATGGTTAATTGGCTGCTGCTCTGTATATTAGATGTTGCACTGGATAAACACTGAGGACTGAGGAAAAATTGTCTTGCAAATAAGCTTTGCAGCAGTCTTGAAATTCCATAACAAACCTGTTGAGTCACGTCACTTTCACTTAAAACCTGGAAGGTGTGGGGAGGAGGAAGGATGGGACAAGAGCGTGTGTGCTTGGGGCAGTGCTGTTCTTGGGTGCCTACGGTGCAGCACCAGTGTGTTGGACTGAGTCCTTTCATCTTTACAAACTGAATCCCTGCTAGTCATGCTAAAAAGTAAGTAGGAACTACCTGTGATCTGTATTCTTCAAGCATCGAAATTAAAGGTAAAGCTCAAAGTCAAAGGATTTTTTTTAGACTTTTTTAAAAGCCCCAGTTAAGAAATAAAATTATTTTGTATTTGAAAGGTAGGCTTAAAATACACGTCTTTCCCTGCCTGTTCTGCTTTAGAGGTCTTCTCTGTTGTTGCCTAACTCAGAACAAAACAGATTCAGATGGATGCAGCTGTGATGATGCCATTATCCAGGAATATAGTGGTAAAGAGTCCTTTCCTGGAATGCAGGCCCTGGTTATTATTCCTTCTCCTACCAGATTTGCAGCTGATACCTGAATTCAGGTCTTGCATGCCTCAGTACAGCGCTTTTGCAACCCAACTATAACATCCTCTGATGCAATGCTTTTAGTGAAACAGATTTGCATTGCATAAATTAAAGATTCATTTGGCAGCAGAGGGAAGGAGGAGAATTCAGGCCCCATGAGGTAGGGTCCAGTGGAAATGGAGAGGGACTGATTGAGTGTCCTGCAACAGGTCAGAGCAGGGAATTACATGTGGATCTTTTGAAATGTGAACATGTCGTGACTACCATGCTGAGCCTAAACCCACCATGAACTCAGCTGTATGATCTAGAGAAAACTTCCATGTCATTATGTGCTTTGAGGTATCTTTTCACTGAACTTAAAACATGTAAGATAATATTATTTTTATTTTTTATAGGCAACTTTGATGATTCAGATCTAACTGGTGGCAGTTTACCAAAAGGAGGAGGCGATGCTGGTGGCAGCAACGGTAAGACAGTTGGTTGTGCTTCGTATTGATCCTATGGCTACATGAGATTTTGATAAAAGCTTGCTCAGAAGCTGGTTAACATGGTCTAACTTGTAACACCTTTGATTCTGGTATCTGAAACTTAAGAGCATACCTTCCACTTCAAAAGCGATGTGTTCTGTCTCTGCCAAAACCCCCAGATAATTAAGAGGTAAAACTGGTCTAGGAAGCTTCAATGATTTTTACTGTTATCCTAGGAAAGATGGAGCTTAAAACTGAGATGTGAATGTGGTACTTATGTCAAAATTCACCATGAATGTAGTACTTCAAGGCATCCAGGTGTTATCTTAAGATCTTCTGTGACATACTCTCAGTTTCTTTTACTTCTCATGGCTAGGAACCCTAGAGGTGGGCCAGAAGAGGGCCCACCTGTGTTCTCAGAGATTTCATCTGTCCCACAGGATGAATTGATCCTTAAGACTTCCAAGTGACGTAGGTTATATCTACTCTGAGCAGTACAAAAGCCAGACTTGTTTTGAGTAACCTGCCATGTCCAATTGTTACGGCACAGCTCAGTACAGAGGTGGTCACTGGGATCGCATTGTAGTAACAGGCACCGTTAGGATGGCATTAGTCATCCCTCTGTGTTACTGCAACTTTACTATTTCCAGGTCAGAGTTAGATTCAGTGTCTTGATGTGGTGTTGAGACATGCTACTGGTTACTGAGTTCTTCAGAGACTTGTCCCTGATAGAGATTACTGATGCTGATTTTTTGGGAAGCTTTCACCTTCCAAGTTTCCTTTGGGGCAGTAATGTGAAAACTGGCAGGGACGAGGAGCATTTGTTGAGACTTGTGTGGTGTTTTCATCTGCACAGGTTCCTGCTTGAGTGGTGCAACTGCTTCAGTGGTGCAAATTGCATAGTGCCAAATAATAATGGTATTTACAGAACTTCTGTCCTGTTTCCTAAGAGAACTGCAAAAATATTTAGTAAATGAGGCTGGGATTTTAGGAAAAGGTGATTGGTTCCATGGAAATACAGTCGAATGCTATGCTGAAATTCTGTGCTGTTTCCCTCCACTGAGTATTCTGTGGTGGTGGCCGAGTTGATTAAACCAGATTTCACAGGTGTGCTGCACTCATTTTGTAGAAGTGCTGAGCTCTCAAGCCTGAAGTTGGCATCATCATGAGCTGTGCTTTGAAAATACAAAGTTTGAGTGCCAGAGAGCTTAGCACTGTGTGGATGTAACTATATCTATTTTATAGCTGTATGAATGGCTTGTAATTTTGCGTGATTAATTGGCAAAAGGTTGTCGATGATGTGACTGTTCTTTAGACATGTAGAATCTAAACCTTTTGTTCATTTTTACAGAACGAAAGGGCCCAAGTCCAAATAGTGGTGAAGAAGCTGAAGGTAAATTCATAAATTTATATATGATGGTGTCTGCATGTCTGAAGCTAGTTTTCTCACTTTTTATGTATTGATAATACTGTGTTAGAATGGGCAGCTGTGGTGGTGGGTTTCAGCTTAAAAACTTTTGTGGAATCTGGAATTCTTACTTTAAAGCTCTGCTTTCATAACGCTTTAAAATCTCTGTGTTGCAAATGATTCGAAAGTGGTAGGGTCTCAGAGACGCTGGTGCAGTGATTGCATGCATCCAACTTAGATTTGGCTATGCAAGGGTAGTTTTTTTTAATTAGTGGATCTTAACAACAGTCATGCTTAAGTTGCTTAACAGTAGACATTGCTAAGAAATCAATGGTTATAAAATTAGGATTCACTTTTCATTGCTCACAAAGACAGAAAGAGTTGATCACATTGATTAGTATGGTTTGATGTCATTTCAGTTTATTGTTTTTTTGGAAGTGCTCACTGGGTTTACTTTGAGACAATACAAGTTTGACATTGCTTTCAATTCTGAAAAATGTATACAAACTTCTGGGTTTTGTGGGGGTTTTGTTTGTCTTTTTTTGTTTTTCTTTCTAGCTTCTCAGGGAGCAATAGCTGGAATTGTAAGTGCTGTGGTTGCTACTGTAATTGGAGCAGTATCTAGTTTCATTGCTTACCAGAAGAAGAAACTCTGTTTCAAACAAAGCGGTAAGAATTTGAAATTAGTTTTGTTTGCTACTGTCTAAAGATATGCTTTTTTGTGTTTTATACTGGGGCTAGAAATTGATCTTATGCATAAGGTAGTTTTAATAGCACAGAGAATTTGTGTTCTGAGCGAGTAACCTCTCTTACTAGTCATCTAAGACAGGACATCTGAAGAATGCCTCACCCAAAATTTAGACTTTCAGAAGCAGACAGACTTACGGCTTTGCATTTCTTAAAATAAAAACACTTCCTGCTAAAGAGTGAGCAAGAGACACTGCAAGAAAACATTTCTTTAATGAAAGTTGAGTGGGAGTTGGGGATTAGAGACTATTTTCATGCTGGAACATACCTTGTCATTTCTGATTTTATAAATCTTGCCTTTGTGTCTTCACAAGATGCTTGCCTACGTACAAAATTTCAGACAACTACCTGAATGTTAATCCCCAAATGATTATTTCTGTTGCTTGCTGTCTACTCCTTTCCACTTAAATAAGATATAACTTGGATCAGAGAACTTTGTGAGTCCTGTGGGTGATAGGTGGGGCAAAAGCTTTGGTTTTGTCCTTTCTGGTCTTCCTGACTGGTTGGTGAAGGGAGATGATAGAGCAGCCATCCAGCCAGGCACTGCTGCTTTCTAATTGGGGAAGTCTGGCAACTGTGTAAACATCTGCCATGAATGTTAAGATGAACATGCAGGCAATGTAAGGGCAACTCAGCTATCAGTAGCCCAGTTTCTTTGGTGCTGTTTCTTCTCTCGAATTATCTCTATTAATCAACAACTTTGAAGATAAGAGAACTTGAATGCTAAACATCTGTTTGTTTCCCAGCAGATGAAGAGAATGTGAATATGGAAAGTCATCGGGGAGCGCAATCTGAGCCACCTGGTAAGAGAAGAATCTAGATGGAAGATCAACTTTTTTGGTGGGGATCCTATTAAATGCACTTCATTGACATCTAACATAGTGGAGAAAATTACTTACACCGTTTTGTTTTGTTTTGTTTTAAAAAAAGTGTTTATAACTACCGTGACAACTAACCTAGAACTGAATCAAGATTTCAGTTCTCATAATATGGCCTTTCTTCTCTAGTTTTTTATTCTTTGAACAGATTGATTTATTGCCTTGAGGAGTCTTTGAAATACAGGAGCTTGGAGAAAGTAAAGAATTGAATTTTCTCTGCAAAAGTATTATTAAAGACACTTATGAAAACACAAGCCTGTTCCTTCAGTGTGATACATAACTGCAATTAGCTGACAGGTGTTTTATTTGTGTGTGTTGTGTCTGATTGGAATCTGATACTTCTTTGATTGTAAGCCCATAAAGAACTCTGCAAGAATTTGTATTAAAAAATGTTAATAGTGTTTGGGCAGAGATGAAACTGCACTGGAGGCGAGGAGGACTGAATTTACTAGCATGTTGTTGTAACTAAAACATTCTCTGTTGTGAACAGAGAAGGATTCTTTTATGAAAAAATCAACAAATAATAGATCTTTCTGCAATGGTGACAGCTGTGGAAGGATCTCTTTTAAAGCAGCAAAAACCCTAACAGCCTCACCCTTCCAGGTGTGGTTGTCTAGGATACTTGGCTGATGGAACAGGTGATTAACTCCAGGAAAGCTGTAGATAGATCTGGAGGAAACAGTGTAGGTGAAAACTTGGCCTTCTGGCCCTGGTGACTGGTCAACAAAGGAAGAAGCAGTACATGCTGAAGTTTGTTGGGTGTCTTTGAAACATTGAATATTAAAAATCTCGAAGTGGTATAGATTTGCAACGTATTCTTCGCTGGGTTTAATCTAAACCTGCAGAACTGGTTTGTTTTTTTGTAATTAAAAAAACTTGTTTCTCTCAGGTATTTTATCAGTTTGCTAAAAACTTCCATTTGGCTTATGATCCTCTTCATAAACTTTTTTCCTTTAAGCTATTAAATATATAAAACTCTCAAGGAAAAAGCATTTTCTTGTAACTGGCTGTTGAAATCAGGACTGGAGATAGATAGGTATCCTCAGCTGAGATATGCATTAGTGAAGCAAGCAATATTATTCAAAGCCCTCCACCAAAGGCAGTTGACATATGCGTTGGAGTCAGGATATTCTGAAATTTTGACCAAGATTCACCAGAACTCAGATGTGAAATGCATCAGATGATACATAGTTTATTTTAACTGATAAAGCCAAAGTTGGGATGTTATCATACATGATTACTCCTCTCATGTTACATCCCAAATTTCATACCTCTGTTATATTTTGCAGGCAAGTGTGAGCATGTTTTGGGCCAAGAAACTGGACAACCACGGTCAGCATGATGCTACTCCTGATCTAAGTTCAGGGAGTCAGCAGACATTAGCTCTGCTTTTGGCAGTATAGTGTTGATGTACCTACACAGTTTCTGGTTAGAAGCCGTCTCACATTAAGCCAGGTCAGATGGCATGGCAGAATAGGTTTGCGTTTCTAAAATTTTGTGTAGACTTATCTTTGACTTGAAAACGTAGATAACCTAGGCAAGCGCTTTCTTTCAGTAGCCCGCTTTTTCTGTTAGTTACGCAGGCTCCATTGCATTTTTACATCCGCAAAACTGCAAGTCTGAAACTGCCTGTTGGGTTGCACTGCAAGTGTAGATAGCTGCACAGATCTAGTAGGATGTGACTGTTTGAGTGAGAAATCTGGGATGTAACATGCCTTGGTATGCCGGGTACTGGCTTCACAGAATTAAGCCTCTGCTTACCTGAATTCATCCCACAGTTTCAAATGCCTACTGAAGAAGTCTGTTGGCAACACATACTGTTACATAGTAATACATAACTTATGATGTATACTAACTTAGTGTCCTAATCTTGAGTTGTTTTTCACTTTTCAGTTCAGCGCACACTTCTGGAGAACTAACTTAAAGAAAACATGATGAAGAACAGATGATTGAAACTGGATAGAGAGCCTGCATTCTGCCTGGGGAAAAAAAAAAAGGAAACAAAAAAAGCGTAGTGTAAACAGCAGAGTCTGAAGTTGCATGAGAAAACCGTTCTTGTCTGAAACACCTCTGGGAGTGTGACTTATACCTGAGTACTTCTGTATGGTTAGCCCTGTGAAGCATTGTTGCACACCAATATATGGCCTTAATGACAGGAGCGTAGAAGTATGTTGTGCCTTTACATTCTTTCCTTTACTCCTGTGACAAATGGGTGTGTCTCAAGTGCATTCAGTATGTTTAACATTTCCTTACCTCTCCAAAAACAATAAGCAGTTAATGTTTTGTTGTGCCATTGCTTTCAGGCAGTGCAAACATTTTTTTAATATCCTGAACGCAGTCAAACAACTTGGTGTATGTTGTGGGCACCTGAGTGCACATGGCTCACTGTGTGTGGGTCATGGGTCTGGGGCTGGGTGCTGCTGATATAATCTGTGTAGCTGCCTGGGTCAGCCACGAGGGAAGAGATACTTGCTCTTGAGCATCCAAGAGACAAAAATTCAGTTTTGTTTTTTGCATTTATTTCGTTGCATCTGTCTGGTACAGATTCAGAGCACTCAAACTAGTGCACACAGACCCTTCATCCTTTCTGGCTCTTCCTGCTTAGCAAGTACTGAGCTGGTCAGACGTGGAAAAGCCTGATGTGCAAATCAGAACCATAACTGGATTTTGTACATCTGGTGAGACTGCTGTTTGGCAGTTGTCTGAACAGTTGTGGATGAAGTAGTGGGCAGTGGGGGTTAACATCTTCAGGCTTCCATAACCAAATACTTAACAGAAAATAATGTGATGCTTTGAATTCAGAAGGCTTATCATACGTACTTAAAAGACAGAAACAGTACCGCAGCTCCGAAGGACAGAATAGCAAGACCGACCAGAACAACCCGGCGTCAGTCCACAAGCATCCATTGAAGCGTACAAATGGCACACGTGTGAAGAAGGCTGTTGGACGTGTGAAGGGTTGCCATCGGGATGAGGACCTGCGATTGCATCCTCAACTGACAGCACTTGTCGGCTTTGCTGTGGCTCTTCAAAGCCACAGGGAGGTTTCAAGGATCTGTGGAAAAGTGGAAAACTGCAAATCGTGGCAGTTAAAAGACGAAGTCTGGAATAATAACTAGTTCTGTCTGGAAGGAATAGTCTGACCAGTTCTTTTGGCTTTCATTCTAAATGTTTCCAATTTTCATGCAATTTTACAATATCTGTCTTACGAATGTGCTTCAGCCACCTGGCAAAGTTCTACAAAAAGATGACATTTCATGAAACATCTTAGAAGTTGTTATGAATGTGGATATTAAACATGTAAATATATCTGTGCATTCAAATAGGAATGTATGCCAAGGATAATTCATTTAAGAATTTCTTGTATATGTTTCTTAGCTTGCAACAAAGCTTTACACAGATTTTAGTATTTTGTTATGGAATTAATTTGTAAACCTCTTTTTTGCCCCACTTCTGCTTTTAGTTTAAAAGTGCTAAAACCTTGAAGTGTGTCTGAGGGTGGAAAAGTGATTTCTGTATAAGCATTTCATCTATGTAAATACAAAGAAATGAAATGTACTGCTTACCTGCATGAATAAACAGGTGTCTCATATCAATGCTAAGTGTAGAGAAAACAGAAATAAGCCAGTGTTTGTTAGGGATAGAATGGTGGGGGAAGGGCAAACTACCTTTAGCTAACCAGACTCTTGAATCCTTCTTCAGCTTTTGCAAGCCTAAAAATTACTTATTAAAAACTCCTGTCAACATTGTGATTTTTCTAAAAATAAATTTAAAAAAAGAAGAAAGTGTCTATGTATTTTCCTTCTTAGTAGCTCTAGAAATACAAAAATTTTGGTGCTTTACCAGAGAAGAGGTCTTCAAAGGGAGTTTGTCTTCCTGCTCCATCAGCAATTTGGGTTTATTTCTTACAGGTGTTTTCATCACCTCAGAAGGAAGTTGGCCAGTAGCAACAAAGCTGTGAGCTGCCTTCACAGGGTGCTTACCAGTGCGAAGTGCAGAGAAGACGTTTATCTGTGTGAAGGACGGGCATGGCTTTCGGTGAAGAACCCCTGGATTTGGTAACACAGAACCTACTGAAGAGATGCACAGCAACAGAAGGCTTGGTATGGGCAAACATAACGATGTTTGCCTTGAGTGTTCCTCGCCCAGCCATCATCACAGCCTTTAGGAGTAGACACTTTTGCGGGGCCGTGTGTCATTGTCTTACCTTCGGATATGAGGGGACCATAACTAAATGAGGTGGCAATGCAGGAGTTGCCAAATAACTAAATAGTAACAAATTTACTGACTTTTTTTTCGGTCTAAACAGGCATAGATTGCTGCATGAAATTTGGACAGAGCTATACTCCCCAGAGCGGTAAAGATAAAGAGGATGCTGGGAGGGAATGGCAGTTGTAATGCTGATTTCAGCAGCTCTCATCTCCCCTGGCTTTGTCCATTTGTGGCTTCACAGGCTGGGGTGGTGAGAGAAGGAGGAAAGACTGGCTGCTGCCACCTAGGAAGAAAAGGTTAAAGAGAAGGCTTGAAATTTGAGGCTGTTCTCTTTCGGTGAACAAGAAACTGCCAATTTATGGGTTTCTGTTACTTATCTGTGGATAAAATGTAGCAGTTCACTTATTTTTTCAGTTATCAGGGTATTAATTTCTACACTGCAATTTGCCTCACTACCCACTGACATTTTGATCTTGTGCCTTCCTAGCTTAAATGCTCTTGCATTGCGTAACTAAATATACGAAATCGTGATTTCTCACATTCATTGGGTCAAGAAACACTATCGGTTAACAATTGTTCTTCACCCCACTGAAGTATTTTTATGGTTATCTCCCAGGAATCAGCTGCTGCCCATCATGGCCTTACATACTGTCAGTGGCTTTCAGATCCTAATTTGGGAATTAACGTTCTAGTTTCCATATGGGTTTCGACCAGGCTCTGCAGTGGGATGAAAAACTACTGTCCTGTGCGGGCCCAAACTGCAAGTTCACTCCTGGTGAGGTGCCTTCACCATTAAGCTGGGTTTAAATGGATGGCCACAAAGAGCTCTGTGCCCGTCCTGTGGCACACCCTCTTCCGTTCTGGTTTTTCTCCAGTCTCCTCCCTCCTTTGAGGAGGAGGAGGAGCCACCTTCAGTAATAGGTGGAAAAAAAGCAAAGCAGGATCTTCTTGTAGAGTATCATGTCACTTCAGCTTCTACAAGGGAGCTGAGGTGGCAGCTCAGTTCGTCCTAACCATCAGCGAAAGGACTGGGTGAAAAAAGTTTTGTCGGTTTTCAAATGTGATGTCGATTTCAAATACTTGCCCAGCCTTACCCAAGCGCATTCATCGGGCTGTGGAAATGGGAGCAGGCCAGTCTCAAGCATAAAATCTGGCAGCTTTTTACTGTAGCTCCTATTCATGCTCATTTCAAGATCTGTGCCAAATCTTGCATGCTAAGAAAAACTTTAAATGCACTCAGTTTTCAGTGTACCTTGGGCTGAATTACACTCCCAATTGTGCATTTCAGTGGTTTTCTCACGAATTATCTGAGGCCACTATCTAGACAGTACTGTTCTCTGTTTCTCACTTGACAAGGTTATGAAACAAACCTTACCCTTTTCATAAACTGAAAAGATTATTTTCTTCTTGCTCTTTTCTGTTACTCAGATGCGAAAGACACATTTGAAAGAAAGTGAAGAGATGATTAGGAATAGGAAAGGGACTTGAATGCAGAAAAAAACCGCAGTTTTTTTCAAGCACCTGCATTTGGGGTACCTGAAGAACCACAAAAATAAGATGTTAAAATGCATGTTGCACCATCTGCTTGTGCAAAACCACTTACATTCTAGCTAGCATGTAGTAATTGTATTCTTCCATTACCAAGAAATTGTATCACTGATTCACTTGTGTATTTGGCTTACATTTAAATTAATGTCTATATTACCGGATGTTTCAGTATTTTAATTAAAATACTTCCATTTTTGTGACAAAAGATGAATACTGTAGGATATTAGTGGCTTTCCCCAGTAGTACTAGTGTATAATTTGGTTCTTTCATCTCCGATAGACTCACACAGCAGGTCACGCGTGCCAGAGAGAGCAATGTCTAACCTCTGCCCACAGGAAGGATGGGGCTGCAACTGTGGAGAGCTGTGACTGTCCTCTTTCAGCTTGTCTCATCTAAGAGAGGCCTGATGGGCTAAAAGTGTATGGTGTAGAGAACAGACAGACACACTGGCTCTGTTTCTCCTTTTCTCCACCCATTTGTTGTTTTTCATATTTATGAAAAATTATTGATATTTTTCATATATATATATATATTAAAAAATAGGCAAGTCATCCACCTTGTAAGGTGAATATTAGGTAGAACTTTGTTTTCCCTTTAAAAATAAAAAGAAGGGTCAATGATTTCTCAGAGTGATAAAACCGTGATTTATGGTCAGGTGTAAGGCCTTACATTTGTGTTTAATAGGTAATATCATTTACTGGATATCTTGGGCAAGCAGTTGCACAGCTTTGACAGAAGGAGCTGAGGTTCAGAGGTTCCTGCAATGCCCCCAAGAACAGAAGTGGGATAGGTATTTGAGACATCCCAACTCCAACGCTGGGTCTGCTCCTTCCTGTGCCAACGCCTGATTTTTTTTATTTAGCTAGACAGAGCAGTAGCTGGCATCAGAAGAACTCGACAAGGGGTGCATCATCTTCAAACTTAATTTAGGAATGTTCAGTATCTCGGTGAACTGATATCAGCAGACAGGTGAGATGATAGGTAGATAACGCATTTTGGGAACACTTCATGTACAAGAACAACTGTGTTGAAGTAAAGCTACTGAATGTTTGTGAGCTGCTTGGATTTGCCTGGGACTAGTACGTAGCCTCGCTAACTTTCCTGTTCCCTTCAGGCAAATTCGTCACTGAAAATGAAGATTAGGATGTGTGCCTGCTTTTGTTATTCTGGGAAAAATAAACAGTGGACTTATGGGATTGCTCATGTCATGGTATAATTCTTGTTTTAAATGGCTGCCAAAGTCACCTCTTAAACCTAAATGTCCTTAACTCTTCTGAGATTGAGCAATTGGCCCTGACAAGGAGAAGAATGATGCATCAGCTGAGCTTTGGAGCTTCTATTACTAGCTTAAAAATAGTTCAGCCATGTGACACAATAAGCCAGGCCTTTCTAAACCGTTCTGCTGGCTCAAATTTGGCAGGGGGGAGTGAAGCTGACCTACTTGAACATCAGACTTCTTGAAGATCCAACATCACTGGGTTCCGTCAGTCCAGTTCACGTTGTCGCGTCAGTTTTTTGTCATTACCGTAAAAGCCGGAGTTGCGTGCACTCACTGTGCCGCGTGTTCTGGGTAACTCAACAGCAATGCGCTGGGGGCCAGCCTGCGCCCCGCGTCGGACTGAATCACCCAGCAGCACCGCGAGCACACAGAAGGGCCATACAAGGTAGCAGAGTCCGTATTTGCTGCCCTCGTCAAAACAGCGCGGAGAAGAGTACCCGCAGCTCACTCCCGGCGGGAGGGAGGACGCACGCCCGTCCCCTTGCTGGCGCCGGGTGCCAGCCCAGCGCAGCTGACAGGCGCGCGGGCATACGCGTTGGCTAGAGACAGGCTTCGACAAAACTGGATTTAAATCACAACAGTGACTGTAATAGTGTTCATGTGTGGATGGATGCGTGATTTTTGTGCGCTGTCGAAAGCTCTGTGTTCTCACACTCAGCACTGTTTGAGCTCTCTCTCCATGTGGGATATGCACAGATATTTATATTTAAAAATATATCTAGATCAATGGAAAAAAATTAGGACAGGCAAGTGTCCGCCAGGGGGCTGAGCACGCTTCAGTTCAGTAGTCCAGCATCCCATTTTAAGTTTATAAAATCAGGGGGTTTTGTCATCCCTCTGTAGACAATTCCTGAGTCTCTGCAAAGCATATTCTTGGCCTCCATTTCCCCCGCTCAGCAGCTGGAGTTAGCGGTGAGGACTCTGACAGGGTTGCCTTTATCAGCCAAAAACTGAGCAGGGAAGCAGCGCTTGGAGGACAGAGTGTACCTGAGAGATTTTTTTCAAGCGTGCTGCAGAGAAGGCAGGTCTCCTCTCGCAAGCTGCTTGAGCTCCCGCAGCACCACGCCCTGCTTTGAAGGCGAGGAAGTCAAACAGGTTGGCTTTCCCTCCGGGAGGGAGGTGGAGCAGCAGTGCTGGCTCCCTCTTCATTGGGTGCTGCTGCTGGTTCCCCGGCTCTCCACGCTCCCTGTCTGGGCGATAAATAGATTTCTTAGGGGGCGAGTGGCACCTACGGTGCTGCTCACGGCTTGACCGTAGAGAGGTCATCGCCTTTCGTTACTGATCTCCTTCCAGAAGAGGTTTTTAGGGAGTTCTCTCGCTTCCTCAGTGCTTGAGTGTGATGGTGAGGGAACTCTTTGGACAGAGCTGCTGATTCCCAGCATAAAATCCCCCAAATCTTGGCACTGTGGTTGCAACATCTACCATCATCTCTTGCAAAAAAATAACCGGTGCAATCAAGGCGCTGCAGAGAAAACCATGGGGAAATTCAGAAGTATTCTTCTTCTGTGCCTTGGCTTTCTTCTAGTCCATGTAAGAGGTAAGCGTCCTTTGCCTTGGCTTATTTCAAGGGCGAGATTATTAAAAATAAAAAAAAAAACCCTGAACCCCAACCCTGAAAAAAAGATGTTTATTTATTTTAAAATGCTTGCTGGTGTTAATTTTTGCTGCTACTGTTTTGTGAGAAGTATTCAAGAGTGTTTAGATAAGTATTTCTGCAGTTTCTAAAGAGATACATATCTTTTGGATGATTGCTCATAATAGCCACACTACTTTGAGTTTGTTTGTTATTTCTTATTTTCTCCTTAGTGTTGCTCTTCTAAAATTGTTCTCAAGCTTGGACTTGAGTATCAACTTTTGAAATGGAAGCTGTAAAATGAGAGCTTCCAGGGGAACTTAAAGTTTGCAAAGAGATCCTTAGTCAAATGCTAACTTCATGTTTTCAGAGCTTTTCTTGGTTATTGATATTTTGAAACATACTAGTTATATTCTAAAAATAAATTCTGATTCACTTTAAGGATTGTCATGCTTTCACACTGGTTCTCGTGCTCTAATAATTCTAAATTAATAATTCATTAACCTTAGCTAACATGTTCCTGAATATATAAAATCCACACACGAGCATTCTATTTTTTTTAATGCAGGATTAATGAAAAATTGAATATATTTTGTACTTCTTTTTTTTTGACAAATGAATAGCAGTTGGAAAAATGTAGTCCTTTCATATCGAGTGGTTTTTCTACATTCTAACATAATTTTCCCTTTACAAAACATTGTGTAAAACTTTTTTTTATGTCAACCCAAAGAAGATCATCCTCGTGTGCATCTGCCATGTAGTGTACTTGTAACCTTTTCTTTTTTGTATATTAGCGTTACTTCAAAAACTTGTAGCACAGTGTTTGACTGCAGGAAGAAATCAGTCATCAACCACTAGTTCCAAAATAGTTGCTGCTGCTGATCCTCCCACCACCCCTGCTTTAAATGGAGTCCTTAGGAGACCTGGCAGTGATGGGCAGCAAAAAAAACTTGCCTTAATTTATTGCCATAGTTGCATTTTAACATGAGATGAGGAATTATTTGGTGGTCTTCAGCAAGTAACATGGCATGGGAACAGCAGAGCAGTAGGACTGTGCTAGCCTGCCCCGTACTATGTTGCGAACAGCGATGATTCACACGGTCTCTCATCACTGGCATGCAGACTTTCTTGTTCTTTTACATTGAGTATTTCTGTTCAAACAATGTGAGCGTGGGCAACACAATTTCCATATGCTCTATCACAGTAATTACAAGGATAGCCAGCCTAACCGTTCTTGCTTTGCACGTGTGCTAACTTAGAGCCATTTCAGGCTCTGCTTTGGGGAAGAAGTCATTGCTGAAAGTTGCTGTGGGCTTTAGGCACAGTCTTATGACGGTGGAAACTGTTTAATCCACTTTGAAAAGCAAAATTAATTATTTTAGGTCTATGGCAACAGCCACTGAATTGTATCATCAAAGTATTTGCCATGTTTCAGGGGACATATACAGGAACGACTTCTCAGTTCTAATCAGTACACAATATGAGAAAGGCTTGGCCATGCTGGTGAAAAGCTGGTCAAAGTCCTGGTGATAGGAATGTCTATGGCACGATTCACCTTTTTTATATGCAGCCTTAATTCTTAATACAACTTATCTAAGCTGTAACCATCTGTGATAGCTTCTAGAAACTACTGTGCCACCACGGCCAGGCCAGACCACATCATTCCCGTTACCATCTTGCATTTCCTTTATGTCCGGCTATCATCAGTCAGTTGGCTACACTACCTTGATGGATACATCTGAACAGAAGTGTGGCATAACCAAGGACCACATTGCACAAGGAAAGTGAAACCTGATGTAGTTCAGAATCTTACACGCTCACTTCAGTCTTCCATACCTTTATCTACACTCTGGCTTTTGTTATTTCCAAACTTATGCAGGTGTCATGCTTTAATTCCAGCCAGCAACTGAGCACCAGCCAGCCACTTGCTCAGTCCCCCCAGTGGGATGGGGGAGAGAATCAGAAGGGTAAAAGTGAGAAAACTCGTGGGTTGAGATACAGACAGTTTAACAGGTAAAGCAAAAGCTGCGCACACAAGCAAAGCAAAACAAGGAATTCATTCACTGCTTCCCATCAGCAGCCAGGTGTTCAGCCATCTCCAGGAAAGCAGGGCTCCATCACACGTAAACTTTACTTGGGAAGATAAAATGTCGTAACTCCAAACTTCCCCCTCTTCCTTCTTCCTCCCACCAGCTTTATATGTTTGAACGTTATGTCATATGGTATGGAATATTCCTTTGGTCAGCTGGGGTCAGCTGTCCTGGCTGTGTCCCCTCCCAACTCCTTGTGCACCCCAGCCTCCTTGCTGGTGGGGTGGTGTGAGAAGCAGAAAAGGCCTGGACCCTGTGCAAGCACTGCTCAGAAAGAGCTAAAACATCCCTGTGTTATCAACGCTGTTTCCAGCACAAATCCAAAACATAGCCTCATACTAGCTACTATGAAGAAAATTAACTCTACCCCAGCCAAAACCAGCACAGCATGAGACTTGAGGTCTCCCATAGAAGTTGAGCTGCAACTATGAATTGTCTGAGTGGCCGTTAGCCCAGCCAGAATGAAAGAACAACATAGAAACTTCTTGCACGGAAGTTCATGCTAACATCCCCCGTGGGTTCCTGCAGCTGGGGTAACCTGTGCTAACTCAGCTTTGGCTGGGTCTGCACGGCTCACTTAGGGTGTGGTAAGACACAGCTTGGGTCCGAGTCCCCTGGTAGCTGAGATCACGCACCTGTTTGAAGCACGCTGCAGTGCCATTTGGGCCATACACCTCTATTTTGAAACACGCCACGGGTCCCGTCTGGGCCGTACACCGGTGTGGGTGCTGGTGTGTGGTGGGAAAGCAGTGCAACTCGAGGGCTCTCTCCTGTGTGGAGCTGTAAAGCAGGTGAGACTCGCACTCTGACCTGATTGCTCAGAAATGCTCCTCAGGTTCCCGATATAGATATAATCTACATATCCATGGTCTTTAAGACCAACTGATCGGTGGCACGTTTAGTCAGTAACAAAGACAGCACAAAGGTTGATGATGTTTAAGAGGGACTAACTTTACTGCATCAAGTATTGCATGCTATGCAGATAAAAGGAACAGCACTTATTGCTAGCCAGTAAACCATGTACCACTGTCCAGCTAAGGCTTACAAAGATGCTGACTCAAAACTAATTGTATTCTCAGTTAATTTGCTAGGCACCTTGTGGGGAGAAAATTACAGGCCTGTTTGGATTTGAGACACTATGTGACTTCGTTTTATGAATAATGTAGTTTTCACTGGAGTTAAAAGACAGAATGGGAGAGATGAAAAAGACAGTCCTGTTTTTCTTCTACTCCTCCATCAAGCTCCAGGCCTCGCTGTCTCTCCGTGTGAGGTCCCTGTGTACGTGCCGAAGCACTCGCGGTATCAGCAGGGGTACACCAGACAATGAATTCTCTTGTTACTGGGTGCCAAAGATATTCCACTCCCAATACCAGAGCTGCTCTCATCTGTAGGCATCTCCGCGCTATCATCCCAGGCTGTGATCGCAGTCTGATAAATAGACATACCTGAACTGGTTGGCACACTAACAACAGCAGAGCTGTTGCAACACCAGAGCTTGGGAAAAGCCAGAAACCGGTCTGGTTACTCAGCTTCTTGGGTTCACTTTTCAGATGTTGCTGCCACACTGCAAGCCTGGTAGCAGTGCTCAAACTGCCTGTTTTCACTACAGATTTTTCCCTCATTTGCATCAGCGACTGTCAATCCCTTTCCATCCCATTCAGGGTAATAAATAAACAAATAAATGTCATAATTCTTTCCAAATTAAAAATCAGTAAAGATATGCCTTTCGGTGGCATTTTGCCTCATGGTTAGCAGGAGAGTGATTCAGATTGTTTTGATCAGAGTCCTCCTCCTTTTCCACAGGGCAGCTGACATCCATGAATGTTACAGCAAAATACTATCTAAAACCTGATCTGCCTTACAGTATGTCCTGAAGGCAAATAGGCCATCACAATTGAAAGAAAGGGCCTGAGAGGGTTAGGAAAATAGAAGAGTCCCACTTCCACTGTATAAGCTTTGCTTGTCATCAATGAATTTTTTAATTGCTGAGTAATTTATTTACAAAGCTAAATTGCAGCAAAATATTTTGAAAGGGCAACAGTGCTCCTGATTAAATGAAAACAAAGCCCACAGTAAGCACTAAGATTAGAAAACGATTTCAAGCAAAGTCCCTCCTTATGTCTTAGATCTCATAACTTCAGTCGTGGAGGACCCAGGAGCACACACTCCACACCAGGAATGAACAGCAACAAAGCCTCCCGGATCACAATCTGTATTGCATCAAATCTGCAACTCTACCTTACAGGTTACCATTGAGATATGAGCCAGATATTTCTATTCACCAAGATCGCACAGAACGTTTTGTTTCTTGAGCGTAATGGTAACAAAAAGAAGGCTGGCTCTTTATTTGGAAATCCAACCCAGATCTGCAGAGCATTCTGCATGCCAAGACTCTTGATCTCTGTTCCCTCCGAAGGCTAAGCCGACAGATCCTCTTCTGAGTCACCTGCTTTTGAAGTTCAGGTACCAGCCGATGCTCCATCACCCTTTGCCCAGGGTCATGCAGAGGCTTCGCCGTGCACTCCAGTGGCCTGTGCAGAGGCTTCCGCAGCTCTGCACAGTGAGCCTAATTGCTCACTGCTCTTTGAGTCCAAATGAGATGAGAGGTGGCTCCCAAGACTCCGCAGAGACGTTGATGCTGAACAGACCTGCTTGCTGACATCCACCAACTCTTTCCAGCATTCTTCTTTTCCAGAAAACTCATTCTTAATGGCATGAAACAGAGAAGATGCAGGCGTCGCTTCTTTGCTATCTTGCATCTTAGCCACACAGCAAACATGTACGAAATGCCCTGATCACCCACTTTGACTTGGCAGTATTGCTAACCCCCTCGGAAGCAAGATAAATAATTATACCAATGGACTACTGTGACCT